CCTACACTGTACATTTCATACCTGTGGCTTATTTATTTTGTAACTGGAAGTTTGTACCTCTTAATCTCCCTCACCTATTTCTCTTATCCTTGCACCCCACCTCCCGTCTGGCAACCACTTGTTTGTTCTCTGTATTTGCGATTCTGTGTTTTGTTATGTTTGTTCATTTGTTTTGCTTTTTTAGATTCCATATAAATGAAATCATACAGTATTTGTCTTTCTCTGTCTGACTTATTTCACTTAGCCTAATACCCTCTGGGTCCATCCATGTTGTTGCAAATGGCAAGATTTCATTCTTTTTTATGGTTGAGTAATATTCCATTACATATATATATATATATATATATACACACACACACACACACACACACACACACATATGTGTGTGTGTGTGTATCACAACTTCTTTATCCATTCATCTATTGATGGGAACTTGGGTTGCTTCCATATCTTGGCTACTGTAAATAATGGTGCAATGATCATAGGGGTACATATAACTTTTTGAATTCGTGTTTTTGTTTTCTTTGGATAAATACCCAGGAGTGGAATTGCCAGATCATAGGGTGGTTCTATTTTTATTTTTTGAGGAACCTCTATACTGTTTTCCATAGTGGCTGCACCAACTTACATTCCTACCAACAGTACCACAACCTCACCAATACTTGTTTGTTGTCTTTTTGATAATAGCCATTCTGACAGATGTGATATCTCATTGTGGTTTTGATTTGCATTAGCTCTTATTAAAATAAAAAGAAAAATCCTCCCTGCAACTATTGCCTGTAACTCTTGCATTCTCATCTCAGTCAGGGCTTTTAAAGGTATGGCTTTTTAAACTTAAATTAATGCAACTTTCATAAAGGAAATGACCATATTATAATTATTTGACAATCACCCGTCGACTGAAATATTTAATAAATTCATTAATATATCAGTTTTTTAGGAAACCTTTTAGATTTGCTTAAGCTCCCCTTGGCTTTTGTGTGTTTTATTTACAGGAGGCAAAAACTGTCCTCTCGACACATGGTAACCACCCCCATATTATCTAGTTTTGAATACAGGAAGAAAGAATCATGCTGTTTGGTGTGGGAACCTATTTTCTTTCTAAAATTAATTTCAATAAATTATACTGATCTCAATGTACTGCACTCACACTATAGGTTTTTAAATAGGCTTTATTTCCTCTTTTTCTTAAAAAAATATGTATATAATAGATTGGCTCTTAGAAACTAAGATTTATTCCCCTCAATTGGTTTAAAACTTTTTCTCAAACGTGTTAGTTTTTACCTCTTAGTACCTTATATGTAATAGGCATTCAATAATATTTGTATTTTTTGTTTGTTTGTTTTTTCAGTACGCGGGCCTCTCACTGTCGTGGCCTCTCACGTTGCGGAGCACAGGCTCCAGACGCGCATGCTCAGCGGCCCTGGCTCATGGGCCCAGGCGCTCCGCGGCATGTGGGATCTTCCCAGACCGGGGCACGAACCCGTTGTACCCTGCATTGGCAGGCAGACTCTCAACCACTGCGCCACCAGGGAAGCCCTGTTTTTAATTTACTCGACAATAACTCAGATTCTATGAATTACAGTCATAAAACCTCACCTTCTTCTTTGATGCTTCAAAGCTTAAAAAGAAAACATAATGCCAGCAACTCTGTGGCTGCCAGCTCTGTTTCCAAGGAAACAGAGAATAGATCATCAAAAACAAAGTAAGGATTTTCAACCTGATTACCCTTTTTTCACCAGTTCAGTCTCCATTGCTGCAAAATGAAAGGCAACATAAACTCAGCCTTGCAATTCAGATTCTTGATTCTGTTTGTGCGTCTCTTGCTATTAAAAGCAGGCAAAAAATTTAATCTCTTGGGTTACATGTTGGTTTTCTCCTAGAGAGTTAAACTCGTTCACAAGGATGAAGAATACCTTTTGAATATAAAGTACTATGTACATTTGCTGAATAACAATATGTTTTTGCATCAAAACT